TTGCTATTTAAATTTAAGTCATGGATAAGTGAGGGCTGGGTACTCAATAGTTAAGGAGAGCCCCACAAAAGCTATGTTAGATGATGTGACATGTTGGAGTTTTCAGATTTTAATTTACATTCTTTGCTTGGAGGGAGCATCTTGTGTTTCACAGAAGCACAAATCATTCCACAATCATTCCCTGATGATCTTTCAAGCTCCATTCAAACAAAGATTTGCCTCTATCCCTATTGCCTCCTCACCTTGTGTTTCCCCAACAGTTCTAAAATTACAATAATAGAATCATAGAGTCCAACTTTATGAAATGCCTTGTCAAGGGTCTCATTGGCCATCGAGTCCAATGCAGGAGAAGTTGGCTTGATCCAGAGGGCCACCCACAACTGCAGGCATTGCAATTTGCCAAGCAATACGCTAAATTATTCTATAAAGACCCACTGTGCCTTTATTTTAAAAAGCCTTAGTTGTTGTTTTTTTAAGGAAAGAATAAATGTTGTATGGACAAAAGGCTACAGCCATCATAAGTATCATCTTCAAAAGATCAGCCGTCCCATGAAGCAGTTGGCTTCAGGTGGCAGAATTAAGAAGAGGTGCTATTTTCTTTTTACTCCATTCCCTGTCTTATTGCAAAAACATGTTCCACTTCACTTGAACACAGGCATCATTTTAATATTTGGCTTGAAGTACAAATATCCCATGATAACCATAATATATATGTAAACTGGCAATTTGATGGGTTGGCTTGATATTTCAGATTTATTGTTTCAGTGGATAGTACGGCTTTAGCTATTCTAATTGAACTTATTTTAATATGGTGTCAGCTGCTGTAGAAGCCTTTGGCTTCCACACATGGGGCATAAATGTAATAATAAAAATGTAAACATAATAAGCAACATGGCAGCAACGTTTGATCTATGGATAATTAAACAGGTGGGTTGGCAAGTATCATGTTGGGCCTACACTGCAGTACCTTGATATCATAGCCTAGTGATTCTTCGGCATAAACAGAAGGTAATTTCCTGCTTTCCTAGCTGGGCAATGAACTCTCACCATGAGAACACAGTCCTTTTCACAACACTGCTGTAATCCTCTTGGAGAGTTATACCGATTTAACCCCTTTTTATGCCAATGTTATGTACTATTTGATTAGACATTTGTATAAGGAAGGATTCCTGTATGCAAGTCATTTCTCGGGCGGTGGTGGTTCTGGACCAAACTTGGCACGAATCCTCAGTATGCCCAAGTGTGAACGCTGGTGGAGTTTGGGGGGAGAGGACCTTGACAGTTGGGAGTTGTGGTTGCTGGGATTGGTGGTTCGCCTACAGTCAAAGAGCATTCTGAACTCCACCAATGATAGAATTGGGCCGAACTTTCCACACAGAACCCCCATGAACAACAGAAAATACTGGAAGGTTTTGGTGGCCATTGACCTTGAGTTTTGGAGTTGTAGTTCATCTATACCAGAGAGTAGGAGGAGGTCTAGGAGCCCCCGGTGGCACAGTGGGTTAAACCCCTGTGCCAGCAGGACTGAAAACTGACAGGTCGCAGGTTCGAATCCGGGGAGAGGTGGATGAGCTCCCTCTATCAGCTCCAGCTCCTCATGCGGGGACATGAGAGAAGCCTCCCACAAGGATGATAAAAACATCAAATCATCTGGGCATCCCCTGGGCAATGTCCTTGCAGATGGCCAATTCTCTCACACCAGAAGCGACTTGTAGTTTCTCAAGCCCAGAATGTAGGACAACTAAGAAGCTACTGGAAGTACAGCCTTACTCCTTTGTTGTCACCATTGCCTCTGTCCTCAAAGGTATATTGGCAAAGTTTTTCCTTCTGCTGTTGTTAAACAGGATCCCAGTTTTTGTCTTGATGTCACAGGAATAGAGCATTCATAGTGCAATTGACCCTCCATATCTATGGATTGTTTATAATATTATAATGTAATGCAATATAATACTACTACTAATAATAATATTATAATTATATATTTATATTTCATGTAAGATTACGAATATTATTAAAATATAGTGGTATAATACAATATAGTAATATTTAATACTGATATTGTACTATGCTAATAATATAACATATTGTGTATGTGTGTGTGTGTGTGTGTGTATGTATGTATGTGTGTGTATATATATATATATATATATTGTAAGCCACTCTGAGTTCCCTTTGGAGTTACTCCATGAATTCAACTATCTATGGCCTGAAATTTAAAAAAAAAATGCAAAAGGCAAACCTTGATTTTACCATTTTGTATTAAGGGACACTATTTTCCTATGCCATTGTATATAATAGGACTTGAACATCCATTGATTTTGTTATCCTGGGGATCCTGTAACCAAACTGCAGCAGATACTAACCACCCACTGCATTTGAATTACAGTATGATTCTCATGCTGCCATCAAATAAAGGTAGAATAAATCATGGATACTTGTCTCGTGACTACCTCTGTCTGACAAAATATGTCTTCTCTAGGAATCTTTTAGGTCCCTCAAGCAATTCTATGGTATACTTCCACTGGAGGTTACTTTAAGACCTTGAGGCACTTCAAAAATTATCCAGGTCCTCCAGGGCAACTATATAGCAACTTTCAGTGGAAGTCCTTCATTTGGCTTTCCTATTATCCATGGTTCTTTGTTTCCACATTAAGTTCAGGAAAATATACTCCATGGACACAGCAGTTGTACTGCATTCATTACATTTGTTTAATTAGTTCACATATCTATCACTCTTCAAATGATGAGTCCCTAATCTTGAAGTGAAATCTATGGTTAATCCTTTCATTGAACTAGAACCCTAATTTGTACATTTTCAAATGGGATGAAACTGGGGGATTTATTTCATCTCCATCACTTGACGAACAGAATTATTTGGATGCACTGGAAGATTTCCCAGCTTGATATTCCAACCACTATAATTCCCCTGGATAGGATGCCTTCCAGTATTAGGACAAACACATACGTTCTGGTTTTGTCACTAATATTATGACCTAAAGGGGGTGCTATATTAATTTCAGTAAGTCCTGCATACCTCTGGCATTTTAAGCTATTTCACTGGGAAGTGCTCCAAAGTAAACTGATGAAAAGAGGCTTTCAAAGCCCACAAGTTCCCTGAGCATAGAGTTGCCCTTGTTGAAACAGGGTGGGTTTGCTGTGGTTTTCTTGGTTTCTTTGATTCAGTGCCTAATGCAGACTGTGGATAAAGCAGCAACTCATCTCTAAACCCAGGGATTTAGGGCAGGATTCTTTAGAAGGCCTAGTAAACAGCCCTGCACTCTCTAATCCTGGGAGCAGGTTACTACCTGCTTGCTTCATATAAACTTTGTCAGCCACGGCGATTTCACATTGCGGTTGGGTTGCAAACATGCCCTCAGGACAGAAATGTTTATTGCAGGAGAGAAGGGATTGTAAAATATCTCTTGGGAAGAGGGAAGATGAAGAACTAAGCACCTAAATAAACACCTACAGGAACCATTTAAGATTAAATGTCACGAATAAATAGACACAAATAAAAGCTATCCTGCTTTACTATCTGGTGATACATTTCTTGTGATGGTGACCACAGGTGGCTAGAGAAAGAAGCTTTCCGTTCCACTGATCAGTATGGAGAGACTGCTGTGAAAGTCTCAATGCTGGGTAAGTACCAAGGACAGAGCTACAACAGAAGATGAGATATGGCAGGTTTTTTGCACACTTGGTATCACTGTACTGATTCTGGATTAGCATAACTCAGACAAGTTGGTTTGACTTAATGGAAACATCTGCCCATGATATATTTGGGGCCCTTGTCAAGAACCTGGAAACCAGCTGGGGACCCATAGGTTGAGGAAACAGTAATGCCAATGAAAGAGATACTAGGCCAAGTATCACTGTGGAACCAGAAATAACAAAGCCTGAAGCTGATGCAAGAGCCCTGAGCCTAATATCAGGACACCACAAAACATTTGAGTCTGGATTTTTATCTGATACAATGGGTCAGCACGCAGATCTCAAATACCTCCACAAACTACTGGAGTTGAAGGTGTGTCCAGCATGACTCTTTGAGGAATAGTTTGCCTCTTTAAGACTTTCTACTTTTTTTTATGGACAGGGTGGAGTATAAGAGGGAGACTCAGGAACAAGGCACAAATGTATTCATTCTGGCCTCAAAACTGGTCTGAGCACTTGGAACTCTCCTCGGTGCTGCAATAACCATCTCCCACTTAATATCAGAGCATGACAACTTCACATCAAACTCTACACACTTTAGTATTGTTCTGGCTCCCTTGATGCTATTGACTTCTCACACTTGCTATAAGTGAAAGTGAGGCTATTGCAAGATATGTTACTTTCAGCCATTATGTAGAATGAAAAAGTAACATGGGACCTTTTCCTTTGCATAGTAGAGAGGTCTCTATGTTCAAGCTTTTTGCAATTTATATCTAAAGAGGATTCAGTCTTGCGGCTACACAGTAGTGAGTAACCGCAAAAGATCTCAGATCTGTGTGACTTTACAATGAGAGTTGTAGCCTCACTGGGAAGATAGGAAAAGCTTTCAGTAGCTTGTTCATCTTGGTTGAATTGTTCTCAGATTAAAAACAATAACAACAGAAGAATAGGAATAACTTGAAATATGTTAACTCAAGACCAGACAGGTAATCAAACTCACAACAGTTGAGACCATGAAATTCCAGTGGAGTGTGAGAATCCTGACATTTATTTAGAAACACAAAACCACCTTTATCTTTTCAGATGGGAATACCCACAGGCCAACTTGACAAAGTTGGCTAGAGTCTAGCTCTCAGAATACTTGTAATATTTAATAATAACATTCTTGTGATGATAGTTATGTTTGTCTCTGAGGTGAGTCATGACATACAAAGATCATAAGAGTAAAATCACAGGAACTGCCTGAGCATTGAGATCTCTGATGGGCTATAACCGGGAGCACAAATACATGTCTAGTGTAAACAGTGTAGCATAGCAGCAGCTGCTGCACTGAAGAAATTGCAACTTACAAAATCTTTAAATTGTAGAGGCCAGAAAATGCTTCCCCTGGGATCCTAGAGAGCTGATTTCCAGAAAGGCGCCTGCAATAAACACAAGAAAGAAGTCAATATAATATCTCTGGCAAGTCCTTTTGTGATGACCTGAAGTTTTGTCCTGCACCTGGCTGGCTATCAAATACATCTTTGTGAAGGGAAGCAAAGGCCATTTCAGGAGGAAGCAATTTCTACAACTACAGAAAGCCATTGTGAATTTTATTTGTTTCATTTATGTCCCATCTTTCCTGCTGTGTATTCAAAGAAGCAATAAGTTCAATGAAGTACGCATCTGTTAAATTCTCACTGTATCATCACATAGTAGAGCAGAGTCACAGAATGAGTAAGAGACTGGGTTTTATAGTTTATTGCAGATTTGCAACTGGATTTCCAAAGTCCCAATTCAGCTATCTAACCATTACACCACACTGGTTCTTAATACTCCATGTTTTTTTTCTTTACTACTCATACTAAAAGAGACATCACTATTCTAATTCATCTTATTTGTGTGTGTCTGTTTACAAGAGGCAAAGAAAACAACAGCTGCCTCCAGATTCCCTTACTGAGGCTTCACTAGAGTCTTGCTCCAAAACCTGCCATGGATTCCAAAATTTGTAGATACTCAATTCCCTTTATATACAATAACACTGTAAAATTGTGTCATTTGCTATTTGGATTAAAATATAAAATTTCAAGTGGTGGATGGTTGAATCCTTGGATATGGAGGGCCAACTGTCTACATGAAGAGCAAAACAGAGAAAAGAGGAGAGCAGATAAGTTTGCCTCATCAACTTCCTCAACCAGCATGTTTAAAAAGCATGGATATAGAAATGGAAAGAATGAGAAAAGTGGACACTTTGAATAGAAAAAGTAATTATTGAATGCATTTAAAAGAAGTATTCAGGAGTCTCGATGGTTTAATTTTCCCTTTTCATGTTATTGCTTCTGCAAAGGCTTTATTTAACATCCACATGTTGTTGGTTTTGAAGGGGAAAAAAATCCTGAAACGTGTTGAATTCCTGTTCCCTATTCCTTCCATGTTACTTCTCCTTTGGGTACACATTTTCATGTCCGGGAAAATACTTTATTATCAGAGGTATACATTGATTCAGATAGCCACAGAAAGTGTTTTATTGAAGTCTTTTAAAAATAATCAGACAAATTAAATAGATCTGCCATGAGTCACAGTAAAAAAAAAAAAAGCTAGTCCATGATCAGAGGCAGTATTGCTCAGGATACGAGATGACAGTTACTGTCTTTACTCTTTTCTAGTACATCTCCCTGCAGCATCTCACTGACCACTTTTGGAAATGAATCTTAAATTAGATTAACCTCTTTCTGACTCAGCAAGACTTATCTATCTATGATGATAGGTGCCTGGATATTTTCAGAACCCACCCAAATGTAGCACATAAAAATAGTGCACTAACAAGTAAAGACAACATTACTTGCTGGGGAAATTTTTGGTGTATAATGACGATCCTTTTGAAAAAGTATAAACTTCTAACATTGGCACTTTTTGTGTATAATGGGTAATATATATTTGTTACTTTTTTGTGGTGGAATACTTTGGGAAGCACTGAAAAGTGATGAGTAGGACAATAAGTTACAAAAGGGGACAATAATCTATTACTTGTATTGGGTCATGTTACACATTTAATGACTGCATATATCAATTATGCTGGGGAAAGTGGAAGGCAAAAGGAAGAGGGGCCGACCAAGGACAAGGTGGATGGATGGCATCCTTGAAGTGACTGGACTGACCTTGAAGGAGCTGGGGGTGGTGACAGCCGACAGGGAGCTCTGGCGTGGACTGGTCCATGAGGTCACGAAGAGTCGGAGACGACTGAACGAATGAACAACAACAATAATATATCAGTGGTTCTCAACCTGGGGTCCCCAGATGTTTTTGGCCTCCAACTCCCAGAAATCCTAACAGCTGGTGAAGTGGCTGGGATTTCTGGGAATTGTAGGCCAAAAACATCTGGGGACCCCAGGTTGAGAACCACTGGTATATATGTAATATTTCAAGCTCCGCATATGCAATATCAGTCAAGTTCATCTTGATATTGTCTCTGTGTGCACACCATGTAAATCTCACATCTCAAGTGTGTCTCTTCTCTGAGATTTAGGTAAGTTATTCACACGATGAAATTTATAGTTCTTAATCAACACAGGGCCATCTCTTTCATATGCCAGCCCTATTTGCAACTTGCCAGGACCCACTTACTGTCATTCTAAGATGACAGAAACAAGAGTTCTTTGAGATGGCTTCACATGGGTAAGTGTTGCTTCCCTGGAAGGAGCAATGTTTCTGTTGAGGAACTGCTACAAACAAAAAAGTCTATGTATTAAGTTACATTTTTGTGCATTTCCTCTGCACAGAAATATTGTCAGTCCTCCATATCCACAGATTCAGCCATCCATGGCCTGAAAATATTCACCCCCCCCCCCAAATCAAACCTTAATTTTGCCATTTTATATAAGGGACACCGTTTTACTTGCCATTGTGTGTTTATATATAGAAGATGACTTGATTATCCACAGATTTTTGGTATCAATGGGAGGTCCAGGAGCCAAACTCCAGCCAGATATGAACTCTTCCTGGAATTGGTGCTGCTTTTTATTTTATTTTATTTAAAAGACAAATTTACACCATTGTACCTTTATGTACAATTTGTTAAAAGAAGGCTTGTAAGAGGATTATGAAGAAGCTAAATCCCCAATTGCAACTACCTTGTTTCAATATTATGATATGGCTAGGCACAGATCTTGGAAAAGTCACTTTGTTGGATTATCGCCAGGCTTGCTGGGGGGATTTTGGGGTTTGTAATTCTCCCCAAAAGAATCTTTGGCTAGCAAAAGGATAAGACGTAGTGCTCCGATAGTCACCTTTTTGCATACAGCTTGGGGTGAAATTAGAATTGAAAGGCCGGGAGCAGCTCTGGAGTCAGCATTGGGGAGTTTCATGTATATGATGATGTAGACATAGAGAGTTTGTTTTGTTCTTTTTGTCCTTTGGGAGAAGAGGCTCAAGGCATGATGTACTGAGTGTATAAGCTTGCACCAGAAGCCAAAGAGAGCATGCAGATCTGCCAGCAAAGCTGTCATCACTGGGTTTCAGTTCCCCCTCATTAATCACAGACTATTTAGCCGTGCATATCATCCTGAGTCACAATAGCATTCTGTGCACATGGTGCCACCCCCATTGCATTCCCGGTGTTTATCATCAATCAGCAAAAGCTGCCACTGCCAGTCCCTTTGCTTAACTACACTTTTCTCACAAACCTAACTCTGGCAGCTTTTTCCCATCAGAAAGAAGCCAAAATTATTTCTTATTACTCAGCAGAGAACAGTCTCAGAGAGTCTGGGGGCGATGTCCAACTCCGAGGACCCACTATGGGCCACACCAGACCCCCAAACGTGAAAGAGGCATTCCTGGTTTCTGGAATACAGCTTTTGTCTTTTTTTTAAATGTTGTTGGTGGATCTTCTGCACCTCTTGTTATTACAGAAATATCACCCCTGCTGGCTTCCAGAGATAGGTGACATTTTTTTCTGGGTGGGTGTGCTATGAGAGAGGGGCTGCATCAATATGTAGGCTATCATTTGCTCATACTTGTTTTAGCTGGAGGAAATCACTCCATAATGGTGGCCACAGCAGCCTGAGAATTCATCAATGTTCAGAGAGTTCAGCTGGGCTGCTCCTTCTCACCAGCCAAGGTAGTTGCAATCAACAAGGAGGGGGTAGAGCAACCCGATCTTCTTCTTGATTACACAGGCTCCCCAATTTCCCTCAACAGACACAACCATGATGGGCATGTTCTCATGGCGAGCACCTTGGCTGGAGAGGAGAAGCAGTATCAAGATGAGGATGACCCATCCCTTCCTTCGCTGAGCATTCAGGGGAAGTACAATCATAGCATTGTGTGTGTGGACAATGAATGGGGCCAAATGGAACCTGCTTGAGATGTCCACACAGCTGCAAAGTCAAGGACCAAGGAGGGGGACCAATGGCAACATTTAGATCAGGTTTCTCATCATGAGCACAACATTGTTTTTAGTATGTTTTGTTGTGTTCCCATGAGACAAGATGTATGTAGGAGGAAGGATCATGGGGCTGGCTCATAGATAAAATAATTTGATGATTTCAGTATCAGGTGATGACTTGTACATATGAATAATGAAAAACATAATACTTTTTGGTGCAATCAGTTCATACCCTTGGCAAAAACTCAAAATGCAATACATGTATATGAATTGGTCTTTAGTTTTTGGAGTTTTGCGTGTGTGTGTGAAACAAAGATCTGTATTTCTAATAGAAAGGTCAAATGTTCTCTTTTGTTATATGGTTATAATATGGGAAGATGATTCATATAATGGTTCTTGGCTGACATTTTAACAGGCACATTATGTTTTACAAACTTTCTTTGATGCTAATATTAGTCTCCATATTAGAAAAGTAAAGCATGACTTGGCTCACAAAGATGACAAAATGGTTTCTTTATGGGACCAAGTAGTTCATATAGTTCATTATTGCATGAAAAGGCCTGTGCTGGATCAGACCAAAGGCCAATTGAGTACAACGTCATGTCTCTCACAGCAGCCAAAAAAAGATGTTGACAGGAAACCCATAGGTAGCACATGAGTGAAAGAGAACTCTCACTTTTGTTACCAAGCAAGTGATATCCAAGGCACATTGCTTCTGATATTACAGGCAGCCTATAGCCATCGTGATTAGCAGCCATTACAAACTTATCCTCCATCAATTTGTCTAATCCCCTTTCAAAGTCATCTGTTGGTGGCTGCTATTACAGCTTGTGACAGCAAATTCCATGATTTAATTATATGTTATGTGAAGAAATGCTTCCATTTGTCTGTTCTGCATCTTCTTCCATTGCCTTCACCTAATGCCCTCTGGTTCTAGTGTTATGGGGGGGAAAAATTTCTTTTCACTGTGGTTATTTTTGTACATCATGCTAAACTGAAAAGCTCCAAACAATAAAACTCTTCCTTACGAGTTGTTTCGGCCACTTGATTATGTTGGTTTCCTCTTTCTGCATCCCCTCCTCCTCAGCAATATCCTTTTAGAGATGTGGTGACCAGAGGGGTACACACGTTACCAAATGTGGTTGCACCACAGATTTGTACAAACAAATTCTTCATGATCCCGAGCATAGAATTTGTTGTTGTCAGTTGCCACATGTTGGGTTAATACGTTTACTGAGCTACTCACCACAATCCCAATATATGTTGGTTAGTCATTCCTGTCTCTATGTATATTCTGAAGGATTTATTTTTATTCATCTTATTTTATTTTTCCTCTGTGCAATTTCTGTTTGTGTGTATGCTCTTCTCCCTCTGCCTCAGAGTGTTGTGGAGTCTCCTCTGGAGAGTTTTAAAACAGAATCTAGATGGCCATCTGTCAGGGGTGCCTTGATTGTGTAGAGTGGCTTGTTCCTTGTTATCTCATCAGTAGATGAGCATTTTTCCATTCTGCCAGTCTTTCTAAAAAATGCCATCTATAAATATATAAAGGGATACCATATGGAAAATGAAGTGAGCTTGTATTCTTCTCCTACATAAACCAGAACTAGAATTGTTGGATTCAAATGACAAGAAAGAGATTCCACCTAAACATTAGGAAGAACTCCTTCACTGTTAAGGACTATTCTACAGTAGTATATACTACTTTAATGGAGTGGAGTATCCTTCCTTACAGGTCTTTAAATGCAAACTGGATAAGCAATTTTCACAAGTGCTTTTGTTCTATATTCTTACATGGAGGGGGCCTGGACTAGATGTCCAAATTACCAAATTGAATGCAAGCACAGCAATTCTGACAGTTCTAAGTATGAATAAGTTATAGCTAGTCTAATATTATGTTATTGATGATATATAATTTACTATATAATTGAGATATACTTACTATTGATATATAACTTACTATGGGCACATCCATATTTTTGTATTTCATAGAATCACAGAGTTGGAAGGAGTCCCATAGGCCACTGAGTTCAAACCCTTACTCACTCAATGCAGAATATCTGTCTAGAGCATCCCTAGCAGGTAGCCCACGACCTCCTTTTGACGATATCCAGAGAAGATACCCACTGCTTCTCTGGTAATTGGTTCCATTGTGGAACAGTTCTCACGGTCAACATGTTCCTTCTAATGATCAATCAAAGTCTACCTCCCTGTAAGTTAAAACCATTACACTTGCCCCTATCTTCTAGGGCATCAGGGAAGTAAGCCACCTCCTCCACTTTGTGATGGGCCTTGAGATCAGGGGTCCTAAAACTAAGGCTCACAGGCTGGGTGCAGCCCTCCCAAATCATTTACATAGTCCCCACCCTAAACTTTAGGCTTAGTTCACCCTAAGTCTGAATGACGTGAAGGCCCTTGACAACAACATCCTTAATTAACTTGGTTATCTCATCAGCCAAAATGAGGCCCACATTACCCATTGAAATACTTTATATTGGTTTAAATTGTTCTTCATTTTAAATATTGTACTGTTCTTTCATTTTTTCCCCCCACTACAAGTAAAATATGTGCAGTGTGCATAGGAATTCGTTCATTTTTTTTCAAACCATAGTTTGACCCTCTAACAGTCTGAGGGACTGTGAATCAGCCCTCTGCTTCAAAAGTTTGAGGATTTTGAGGACTCCTGCTTTAGATATTCAAAGACTGCAATCATATCATCTCTCAGTCTTTTCTTTGCCAGGCTGAATATGCCCAAGTCCCTCAACCCCGAAGACCTGAGGAAGGTCACTGAAATATTTTCTGATCCAAACATGTTTTTATTTAAAGTTTTTTTTACATATCCAAAGACTGAGTTGCGTGTTATACCTATGGGATAATATCTATGCCATCATTGCAATGCATGATATGTCCCCCAAGACCACATCACATCAGTGGAAGGCAAAAGGAAGAGGGGCCGACCAAGGGCAAGATGGATGGATGGCATCCTTGAAGTTACTGGACTGACCTTGAAGGAGCTGGGGGTGGTGATGGCCGACAGGGAGCTCTGGCGTGGGCTGGTCCATGAGGTCACGAAGAGTCGGAGACGACTGAACGAATGAACAACAACCACATCACTGTACTACTTTCTTGTAAATAATAATAATCATCATCATCATCATCATCATCATCATAATCATCATATTTTCTTTATTTGGAGCAAAGAAGATTAATATGTGGCTCTCTCATGGATGTTCTTCCCATAAGCCCTAGTCAGCATAACCAATAGTAAAGGAGTCCTTAGTTACACAACTATTACTACAACCAAGTACTGAGGCCCCATCTATACTGCTATGTGGTCTGTGTAGATTCACATAATGCAGCTCAGTGGAATTAAACTATATTTTATGAGCCTACACTTGCCATATAATGCAGATTTTAATTGCATTGTATTTATTTATTTATTTGTATGCTTATATACCGCAATATCTCAGCCTACAACGGCGACTTGTATGACCATGTAAATGGGGCCTCAGTCAAACAGAAATAGTTCAGGGAGAAGGGAAGAAGGCAAACACTCTGTTGAGATAGCAAACCTGTTATCCTTTCCTCCATGTGTTGTACAGCCATTCTGCCTTGGAGGCTAAGGACTCCCATGTTTGGGAGTTCAAATGTCCATTCATTTAAAAACCAATGAACTGATATTCTACCAGAAGCCTGCTCACTTTCCTTCTTTATACTATTTCCAGTGAAACAGAATGCTGTCGTTCTGGATGAAATAACTAAATATGGAGCTACAGTGGAAGTACAGGGTTGATGGGGACAGGCTGGAAACAGTTAAATTAGCCAACCAACTGAAAGTTGCTTAAACAAATTCAGTAAATGTACCAAAAGTTAGCAGATGACATGATAAATATCACCTTTCCCAGGGATTTCAAAAAAAACAAACAAACCCCAAAATACTACTATACTTACAATTCTTCTAGAAAGCGCAGGTGTTGGAAGTCACCAGGGAGCAGTTCACTGATGTTGTTCATGCTCAGATCACTGATATACAAAAAGGAAACAAGACAGAAACAAGAAATTGGAGCAAATGTAATACGTAGATGCTCTAATAAAACATTAAGATTGCAAAAAAAAAAATGCCTCTGCTCAAGGGAAAGGAGAGCAAGGAGGATTTAAGTGATCTATTATTATTATTATTATTATTATTATTATTATTATTATTATTATTATTAACTTTATTTGTACCCCGCTAGCATCTCCCGCAGGACTCGATGCGGCTTACACAGGCCGAAGCCTCAAAACACAATACAATAAAACATAACACAATAATAAACAAAGCAAATCAAAACAATTAAGCAAAATAACAACAATAACTACATCAAGACACTATTAAAACTGGTTCGGCCGGCGCAATGGGGTACAGGGGTTAAAAGTGCTGAAATGGCAGGAGGAACGTAGGATTAAAGGTGCGGTGTGCAGTAACATCGGTTGTGCTAAAGTGCTTCTAGGACTTGGGATGGGGATTCCTAATCTGAGAAGGCACATCGGAACAGCCAGGTTTTTAGGTTCCTTCTGAAAACTGCTAAAGTAGGGGCCTGTCGGAGATCTTTTGGAAGGGCATTCCAAAGTCGGGGGCCGCCACAGAGAAGGCCCTGTCCCGTGTCCCCACCAAGCGCGCTTGCGACGTGGGTGGGATCACGAGCAGGGCCTCCCCAGATGATCGGAGTGAGCGTGTGGGTTCGTAGATGGAGATGCGGTCACGCAGGTAGGGTGGTCCCAAACCGTTCAGGGCTTTGTAGGTGAGCACCTGCACCTTGAATTGGGCTCGGAAAATAAATGGCAGCCAGTGGAGCTCCTTAAACAGAGGGGTAGACCTCTCTTGATAATGAGCCCCAGTTAGCATCCTGGCTGCTGCCCACTGGACCAATTGAAGTTTCCGAGCCGTCTTCAAGGGCAGCCCCACGTAGAGCGCATTGCAGTAATCCATTCTAGAGGTGACCAAGGCGTGGACCACCCCGGCCAGATCTGCCTTCACGAGGTACGGTCGCAGCTGGCGCACAAGTCTCAGTTGTGCAAAGGCCCTCCCGGATACCGCCGACACCTGAGCCTCAAGTGTAAGCGAAGAATCCAAGAGGACACCCAAACTGTGGACCTGTGGCTTCAGGGGGAGTGTAACCCCGTCCAACACAGGTTGCCACCCTATACCCCGATCCGGTTTACGATCAACCAGGAGGACCTCTGTCTTGTCGGGATTGATCTTCAGCTTGTTCTTCCTCATCCAGATCGACACAGCGGCCAGGCACTCGTCCAGCACCCGAGAAGCCTCCTTGGAATTAGGTGGAAAAGAGTAGTAGAGTTGTGTGTCATCTGCATAAAGATGGCACCCAACTCCAAAACTCCGGATGACCTCTCCCAGCGGTTTCATGTAGATGTTGAAAAGCATGGGCGACAAAATAGAGCCTTGCGGGACCCCACAGGTCAAAGGCCAGGGGTCAGAGCAGGCGTCTCCCAGCTTCACCATCTGGGTTCTATCCCTTCTCAATCCATCAGCCATTGGGGAAAATTGGTTAAAGAGCATGCACATTGGGCCCTGCTATTAGACAGAAAGGAGCAGCAACCCGAGGGAGCAGATTTGGGGCTTTCACAAAGACCAGCACACAGTTAGTTGATTTATCATTATTTCTGTTGTTATTTATAGGGAGAAAAAGAGTTGTGGGAATGTCATCCTCAAGTACACAAATTTAAAACGAGTCTGTTTAGATACTGTGCATCATGATTTGGTGTGGAGCGGGTAGGACATTATTTGACTCACAGAGGGTTTTATTTTCTGTATAATCCTTGGAGAGACCCATGACTAAACATTGTTAAACAGCATTGCCAATGTGTTTATATATATATTTCTAACAATGAAATTTAATATGAAAGTCAGGATTGTTCATGACATCATATTTCCTATTTCTGTGTATTGAAGTTGATAGAATAACTTTATTTGAAATATGATGCTGGAGGAGAGCTCTGTAGACATCACAGACTGCTAAAAACACAAAGATATAGGTCCAAAAATAAATCAAGTTTGATCCCTCCCCAGAGCCAAATTGATTATACCGTGACTGTTGTATGTTGGTCTTATCATGAGAAGACATGACTTACTTTTCCTGCTGCCTTCTACCCCACAATAATGTTTGATGGGGTAGAAGGCAGTAGGAAAAGAGAATAACTGCATTATAGGTAGATCAATTCAATCAAGGAAGCCACCCACTGGGTCTGCAAGACCTGAGTAGAGATGCTAGGATGTAGGGTCACCATAAGTCAAAACTGATGGCAGTTAGCAGCTCAAGTGGTTGGTACCTGACAGGGATACAGTCTAGATTGATTTTTTAAAAATAAAATCAATCTAAATCACAATTAGGATCTTCTCTCCTTCTGGTTATGTACCAATAGTGAAAGGAGATCCTGTTTCTTCAGAGTCTCGAGTATTACTTCCTCTCATTCGTAACAGTTAATTAAAAGTATGATGGTTTGGCACAACGTTGTTGCTAGTGCCAGATTTACCATTGTGCTTAGATGTGCTTAAGCAAAAGGCTGCGTTGACCAGGTGGCCCCACTACCTACTTAATAATAATAATAATAATAATAATAATAAGGATTTTGCTTATGTGGTGCCATTATAAATTTGAAGGCAGTCTGTTTCTTAGCGATTCTAGACATAATGCTAGAATTGATAGTCTATTGGAGTGTGCCACAAAGTAGGCAGTGTAGGCCTACTAGGCCTACTTCCTTCAGGGTCCAGGGAAGGGGCCTCACAACTTAACTAGCACAGGACCTCATTTGTCCTAAATCCAGCACCAAGTGTTGCATTTAATGTGCAAACTTTTTACTTTTCTGCTGCTTTGAAATGAGATTTTCATTGGCTATATTATTCCTCCTGTATTGCCCACCCCCACATTTCTGTTGGCAACAAAGGTGTAAATATGGAAAGAAAAGACACGTTAATGTGAGAACTAAGGAACATCTTTATAGCACAAGTTCTGAATTCTACCTCTCAAAATATATTTAGGTTTTAATAGCATTTCACAGTATTTGAGACCCTTTAATTAACATTTTGCTGCTTTATATATGTTTTATCTCATTTTTCATGTGCGGGTATTACTGTCATTATTTAAATGTTTTTATGATAAATGGGTTGGAAACTTTTGGGTGTATGACAATTGTGTAAATTCATCTACAGAGCAACTGTATTTTTTTTTTAGTAACAAAATCATACATTTATAGACTTATACGTTTCAAAGAGACCTCAAGGGCCATCTAGTTCAACCACATTCAGCCATGCAGGAACACACAATCGAAGCACTCCCAACCGATGGTCATCTTGCCTCTGTTTAAAAATTTCCAGAGACTTCACCTGACTTCAAGGCAGGATATTCCATCATTGAATAATTCTAACCTTCAGGAAGTTCTTCCAAACGTTTAGATGTAATCATTTTTCATGCAGTGTGAATCCATTGCTCTGTGTCCTAATGTCTAGAGCAGGGGTCCTCAAACTTTTTAAACAGAGGGCCAGGTCACAGTCCCTCAAACTGTTGGAGGGCTGGATTATAATTTGAAAAAAAAGAAAAGAATTAATTCCTATGCACACTTCAGATATCTTATTTGTAGTGCAAAAAAAAAAATTAAAAACAATATAATAATTAAAATTAAGAACAAATTTAACAAATATAAACTTATTAGTATTTCAATGGGAAGAGTGGGCCTGCTTTTGGCTGATGAGATAGGGTTGTTGTTGTTGTTGTTGTTGTTGTGTGCTTTCAAGTCATTTCAGACTTAGGTTGACCCTGAGCGATGGCCAGGTAAATGATCTTGGAGGGCTGTATCCAGCCCCCGGGCCTTAGTTTGAGGACCCCTGGTTTAGAGCCATGGAAAATTAACTTGCTCTTTCATCAATATGACATTCTTTTAAATGTTTAAACATGGCTATAATGTCCCCTCTTAACCTTTTACTCTCTGAGCTAAATATGCCCAGCTCCATAAGTTGCTTCTCATAGGACTTGGCTTCAAGACTTTTGATTGTTATCGGTGAATGAAAAGCACTCCCTCGAAGCACAGCAATTCAGTTTAAAACAACATCTTGGAGAATGTAATTTTACATAAGATCACACATCATGTGATGTTTAGCCTTAAGAAGGGCATGTTTAGCCTGAAGAAGAGAAGGCTGAGAGGAGACATGATGACCATGTATAAATATGTGAGGGAAAGTCATAGGGAAGAGGAAGCAAGCTTGTTTTCTGCTGCCCTGGACACTAGGACATGGAACAATGGCTTTAAACTACAGGAAAGGAGATTCCCCCTGAACATTAGGAAGAACTCCCTGACTATGAGAGCTGTTCACCATTGGAACTCTCTGCCCCGGAGTGTTGTGGAGGCTCCTTCTTTGGAAGCTTTTAAGATGGATGGCCACCTGTTGGGGGTGTTTTGAATGTGATTTTCCTGCTTCTTGGCAGGGGGATGGACTGGATGGTCCACGAGATCTCTTCGAATTCTATGTTCAGCATCCTCAGTCCTATCATGGTGTCATGCACACTCCCAAGTTTTTAGCTACAGTACTTTTTAAATGTCCCCAGTTTCTCTCTCCTCTTTCCATTTCCTCATCTTTTCCTATCTTATGTCAATTTCTGCAAACTGAATTCAATGTGCAAACATTGTTTGATTTTAATTAACTCAGAAGGAACGAGAGAAAAAGAGGGATGGAATCTTGCCATTCCCAGCTAGCTCAAACCCCATCTACACTGCCATATAATGCAGTTTGAACTGCATTAAATGGTCAGTGTAGACTCATATAATGCAAACTGACTGCATTGAACTGGATTATATGAGTCTTCACTGACTCATATATTTCAGTTCAATCTGCATTTTAGTGGCAGTGTTGATGGGGCATCAGGCAAAACCAAATTGCTGCTATCTCTCCTAGCTTGTGTGATGTTCCTCATTAAAAACCTTTCCCATCTTGACCACACTCTGATGTTGCTTGTCCATGCATGTCCTGG